TCCCCCCACCCCACAGCAACCCTGTTTGTTTCCTGAGATTAAGAGCCTCTTATGGTTTGTCTCCCTCCCCCATCCCATCTTGTTTCATTTTTCCCTCCCTTCCCCCCAATGACCCCCTCATCCTGCCTTTCAAATTCCTTATATCAGGGAGATCATATAATTGTCTTTCTCTGAGTGACTTATTTCGCATAATACTCTCTTACACTGTTAGGTCAGCACTGCTGATTTAACTTCCCTTCCCAATTTGCCTGGATCCCGTGATAAAAGATCCCTTGATCTTTTGTTAGAAGCCTCCACTCATTTTTCACATAGCCTTTGTGCCATGTCTTCCAATAAATTCCCAATGAGAATCGATCTATCCCATCACAATTCCCTAAACTCCTGGACTACTGAGCCCCCCTAGACATGGCACTACCATGTTGATTGGCTCCACTGTAAGAATCTTATCTCTGGCCTTGAGTCCTTGATGGCCTCAAATGATCTAGAAATTCTTTCTTCATCTCCAGCCAGTCCCTGTGTCCATTCTTTGTAGAGGCTGTCCAAATCTCCACCATTCCCTCAAAGTTCTCTAGCTAACCCCAGCTGCCCTCACTTGTAATATACAGCTCAGTATATGATCAGACTTGTCCCAAATATATTTTGTAAGCTATTGGTATACAATGAAAGACTTCAAATGTTAAGATAAAATAGGTTAGGAAAAGCATTTTCCAACATAAAACAATGAGATACATCTCCTTTATCTGTAAGGTTAATAATTCCTTCCAACTGCACTTCAAACTTCCAGCTCCCCTCTGCCAGGAACTGCCTTCTGCTCTGGTTTCAAGCACATCGCTCTTCTATTTCTTCTCCCACTTCTGACAACAGCCCCTCCACCTCCTTCACCAGCTCTTCTGCACACACCACTAGGCCTCAGATCTCATCTTCGTTTGCTCTAACATGCTCCTTGGAGATCTCATCCATCTCCACAGTGTCAAAGATCATGGACACATGCCAACAACAAGCTCCCTCACTTCCATCCAATAACCCAGACTCCTATATCTAATTGCTTATGATGCATCTTTACCAGATGTCCCAGACATAGCTGAGCTGATCAAACTCATAAACTTTACCCACTCACCTGCTTCTCTGAATTCCTCTTTGGTTTATAGGAATACCATCCACCTAGTTTCCCAAGAAAGAAATGTTAAGTCCCACTTCTCTTCCTTACCCTTCACACGCAAGTCATCAAGTTCAGATGTTAGTCCAAAATGTATCTCAATGTGTCCCTCACTCTTCATTCCCAAAGTTACGATCTCTCTCTCACCTCAAACATTCCCCTCATCTTACACGCATCTACACCAACAAACGGCAATCTGGGCTGCACATTAAAACTGGCTGGGGAGGGGCGCCTGGGTGGCTCAGTGGGTTAAGCCGCTGCCTTCAGCTCAGGTCATGATCTCAGGGTCCTGGGATCGAGTCCCGCATCGGGCTCTCTGCTCAGCGGGGAGCCTGCTTCCCTCTTTCTCTCTCTCTCTGCCTGCCTCTCCGTCTACTTGTGATCTCTCTCTGTCAAATAAATAAATAAAATCTTAAAAAAAAAAACCTGGCTGGGGAGTTTATGAAAATCTTCATGTTCAGCGCACACCCCAGGCCAATTATTTTAGAGTCTCTGGGAGTGGGAACCAGGCATCAGCATACTTTTACAAGTTCCCATATGATTCCAATATGCAGCCAGCTTGAAAATTTTCCCAGAATTGAAGACATGAGCACACAGAATGAAAGTGCATACTGAATAACAAGCAAGAAAAGTAAAAACAAATCTAAAGCTCAACAGGTCAAAGTGAAACTGAGTAACTGTGAAGATAAAGAAAATATTGTGTAAAAGCTCCTGGAGAGAAAAGCCAAAATTACCTAGAAAGGAAAGAAAATCACACTAATAGTAGATTTATCATCTCCAACCCTAGATGGCACAAACAATGAGTTAAAAATCTTCAACATAATGGGAGTGGTGGGGCAGGGGGCGGTGGGTTAGCCTATGAACCTAGAATTCTAAGGCCTGCTAAATGTTCTGGGAGAGTGAAGCACATTCTTCCACATGCGCAAAGCTAGGACTCTACACACACAGACCATCAGTAGAATTACCTTACAAACAACACACAGTTGACCTTTGAACAACCTGGGTTTGAACCACACAGGTCCACTTATATGTGGATTTTTTTTCGATAAATGTGGTACAGTACTGTAAATGTATTTTCTCTTCCTTATGATTTTCTTTTTTTCTTTTTAGATTTTATTTATTTATTTGACAGAGATCACAAGCAGGCAGAGAGGCAGGCAGAGAGACAGGAGGAAGCAGGCTCCCTGCTGAGCAGAGAGCCCAATGCGGGACTCGATCCCAGGACTCCGAGATCATGACCTGAGCCGAAGGCAGCGGCTTAACCCACTGAGCCACTCAGGCGCCCCCCTTATGATTTTCTTAAGAACACTTTCTTTTCTCCATCTTTATTATAAGAATACAACATACAATACATACGCAAAATATGTTATCAGTAAGGCTACAAGTAGTTAAGTTTTGGGGGAGTCAAAAGTTGTATGCAGACCTTGGACTGTGCAGGGGTCAGCGCCTGTTGTTCAAGGGTTAGCTGTACTTCACTGTGCGGGCAAGTGAGCCAAGAAAATTAGAGAACTATTTAATAATGACCAAGTCCGGATTCTACCTAGAAAATACAAGATGTGTGAATGTATGTGCCACTAAGAGGTTCCACCGCCTTGATCAAAGTAAAATGGCTCAGTGCAAACAAATAAATTTTATAACAAAAGTATTAGCAGGATTCTGGATAGTTAATTTTAATTGGTTTCCTGTGCTTTTGTAGAATTAAGTTTCAGTTTTCAAGTGTTTGCTTTCCAGAACTTTAATAAAAGGAAGTGCTGCCAATGTAGCAATGTTGAAAGATGTCTACTTTCTTTCCCTGCAAAAAACTGGATGTAATATATTTACATGCTGATCAAAATATCAAAACAATTTTATTTTTGCCACTAATATCTTGTTTTCTAGATGATCTGAAAATAATCTTGAGAATTCCCAAGTGATAACCATTCAATTCCTGTAATATTAGACTTGGTTTCCTTTCATTATTTCTTAGCAAATTCAATCATACATGTTAATTTTATTAAATTAATTCTCAGTATTAGATTCTAAGATTTAGCACAAGGAAGAAAAAAATGACTCTTAACCAAGATGATAATTATGTATTTAATACATCTTGCTTTTAACAGCAATTTTCAAAGTAAACACATCATAGACCTTATAACTTATTAAAGATTTATAGTGCTTACAAAGTTGATTCTAAAAATATACCTTATTTGTTCTAAATGAATAACATTATCTGGAAGATAGAATAATAAATTATAGTAGTATGTTTACCACCACTATAGTTAAGATTGTATACATATATTCAATATGAAATCCTTTTAGGATCTTCATACTTTCAGCCATAAAATGTAAAAGCAGATTAAAGTTTGGCATATGAGATCTCAGTCTGACAGCAATGGTTTTAAACCCCAAAATTAAACAGTATCTAGTTTACACATTACGAGAGCATGGGCACATGCACATACATTTCTACATGTACATTCTCTCTCACTCAATCACACACACACACACACACACACACACACACACACACACACACACAAACCCAAAGTAAGGAGAAAGTTCCACCCTTGTGTATCAGACGATTGTCATCAATTTCAAAAATAAAAACTGAGGAAAAAGTTAACTAAAAATGTTTAAACCACACTTAAATGGTTCCCGTTGTTGGAAAGATATGCACAAAACTGCTATCGAAATCTTTAACATGCACGGTATATGCCATCTCAGGACATTCTGGAACAGGCTTGAACTGTTCACTCATGGACATATGAATATATAAAAAGTGAGGTGCTCATCCATTCCCCAGATGGCATTCCACTGACCGTCAGTCACGTGACCCAGCCGGGCTAACGTGGTTTGCTTCACAGAACCCAACAGATTACAGAACCCAAGAGAATTAGAAACTTCATTTTGATCTGTTTAGGGTTTCTTGAGTGTTCCATGTGCAAAAGCAATGAGTTACTGTACTGCAAATGACAACATCATTTCACACTTTGTGGCACTGCAAAAGGTCATTTTGGTATTTCTATAACATATTTATTCTAGCTAAATTTCCCAGTGGTGCCTTCTTTTAATTACATATAGCCTTGCAGACTTAGACTTAAAACAATTTAATGCTGATAACCCTCTCCTGCTCATCACTTTTACCTCCAGCAGAATTCCTTTTTGGATGCTCTCCAGTAATGCAGGTTTTAAAATGTTCTGTGGAAGTTCATTTTCATTATCAATTAAAACACCCACGCTCTCTGAGACGACATTAAAATAGAAACTAGCCACCCGTCAGGGCGCCCATAGCTCATACCGCTGCCATTAGAAAAATGAAGAGACACAACATAAGCAGAAGAGAATATACCAGCTTTCCCCTTTTCTTTTTCTTTCTCTTTTTTTTGGCTTTCCTCTTATTTTATTTTACTAAGTTTATAAACTGTTCAAGCATTCTTATACTCTGCATGACAATAACAGAATATTTTGGCACATCAACATTGTGATACAATATATGGTATGTTTAAAAAAATTAATTAAAAAATTTCATCTATTAATGAACACACTGTTTAATGTAGTGCATATATATTTTATAGTTATTTAAGTCAAATACATCAAGGTTTGTAACTGATTTACAGATGAAGCAATCACAGATTGCAGTAATACATGCGTATGTGCATGTATATGTGTGGAAGTGTGTGTATGCGTGTGTGTATATACATATATATCTATACACACACATACACACACACACATACATACAAATATATACACCATCAAGGGAAAAACTGCATCCTGGCAATTTTACAGTCCAAAGCTTTGTTGATATAGTGATCATTTACGTGCCCTTTTCATCCTGTTTTTCTGTATAGAAGATACATTTTTGCCTTCTTCATTCCTGATGAGATTTTTCTGCGATAACTTTACATTCATACTGTAAAAATTAAAAGGTTAACAGATTAAGGTGTATTCCGAATAGCAATTTCCATACAGACTAGAAATTAATACTTTATTAACATATGCCCACTTTATTTGTCAAAGAATCTGAGAGTTATGCAAGGATTAGAAGCAAATGACAAATGTGATGGGAAAAAGAAAGCTCACAGTCAAGAAGTGAAAGAGACATAGCAAACGCAGGCAAAAGACAAGGTTTCTGCATCACACGTAAATGATAACAGTATGATTCAGATCAATCCTATAACACAAAGGGAGGCAAACGGGTTTCTCTGAGTGCTTGGTAAGGCGAATCAGCAAAGGAAAGGTCATGAACTTAAGAGCAGGACTGATACAGTGAATTCAGGTAATATTTTTTTCAAATCACTTTATAATATCAAGGGGCAGAAGACTATTACATTAGCAAAATCTTCTGGTCAAGACAGTATTTTAGAAGTACAGCTACAAATGTTCACCCACAATTCAAGATAAAGGAAACTAATGGGCTTAAGATAATTGGATAGCCAGACTATCAAAAAGACAGCCACCTAAGCCACTCAGTTCTCCCAGCTGGCTATAAGGATACAGATAGCACTTATCCATGAAACTGCTCTGGCCTCCGAATGCAGCTCCCTGACTCCTCCCATCCACGACAGGCATGACCAACAGCCTCTTTTTTCGTCTTAACTAAAATGTTCAAACATCTTGATTTGCCAGAGATAGTCCTAATCTATATCTATTGAAGCAACATAGTTAGTAGTAAGGCTGCTTTTCACTTTTAAAATTGTCTCTCTGTGATAGACTATAGACTAGTTAAAAAAAAAATTAGAGGTTAAATCCAATCACCTTATCCGTAACACCTTTTAGCTTTTCTATCCAGGGGTTCCTTTGACTCTCAGTATGCTTGGCTTGGAGAAAACTTGTTTTACAACTCAATAATGGATGAAATAATAAGCATCAGCTTACCATTGCCAGTTGTCGACCAATGTTTCCCATCGTTATGCCTCCAGCAAAAAATATACATGGTAACCAAGAACGAACATAGAGAAAATCTGGAGATGTATATCTAGAATAACAGAAATGTTTTTAACAACCCAACGAGGAAGTACAATGATACATATAAAGAAAATTACAATGGAAATAAGTTACTCTGTACATTAAAGTGGCTAACCCAATTTTAAAATCTCAATTCTGAAATCAATTGTTTATTTCTTTTAGCAAACAAGCACCAAAAAGAATACTTACTGATAAACACCATTATAGACTAGCAGTTGAGTGACCAAGGTTGCCAAAAAAGCAATTCCTACTCCAAGGCCAAAACCACTTCTAGATCTATCAAACGTCCACCATAGTCCAATGGAGAGTGCAGCCAGTGTGAGAGACAACTGTATGTTGTTATCAAAATCCACTTTCTGAGATCAGTGTTAAAGAGTCATCTTCTTAAAACTTGTCACCAAATAATACCACCTGTTCATTTTTCTAAAATAAGATGTTACTGCTGAGACAGGAACTGATTGCTTATTCTAGAGTGAGTTCAATCTTTCCATACAATGCAGGACACCGGGTGAGATTAAAACTGTCTGCGATATTCACTAAAGATACACAGAGAGCATGATATTTCATTACCAGATCCCACCTACTTGTAGTTCCCCCGCACAACCCACCCCAAAAAAGCCTTCTGTCTACATTCACAATTATAAGATCAGACCCATTACATGAGAAATGCTTTCTTTGCTAAAAATGTAACCGGAAGTCTTGGAACACAAGTATTGCTAAAAGAACACACTTTTGCTAAAAAAGAAACCAGTATTACTTCTCAAACAGGTTCGGAATTACTTGCGAATCATACAAGAACTTGAAAATAGAAGAGTTGACAGCTATTTAACAGGGTACCACATTCTTCATATGATTTACTGACAGACACATTTTATAATAATGCAGTTCAGAAACAAGAGGACCAAGGACACAGTATCCCTTTCTATTATGTCAACTGTTCTAGTTTTAATTTGTTGAGGATAAAGCCTTGAAGTGAACATTATCTTGCAACCTGCCAAGCTATTTTGGTGCCTGAGACTTTCTGGTATAGGACAGTTTGCTAAAATGATATTTTATTTCCGTCACTTACTTAAGCATCTATTCATGAATGTGCGGCCCTTTTCTACTCCAAAATCTCTGGGCAAAACGAAGCTGTACAAATTCAATTTTCTCATTTCTTTGCTAGAGGATTACACTAAAGGAATTAATTTCAAGTATCATTAAAAGGGCATTATCTATGTCCCAAAGGCCACATCTTGGCTCTATATCCGGCTCCCCGGGGGGGCTAGACAGCTCACCAAACTAACTGGCCATGCTGCCACTACAGAGAAGAGAAGAGAAGTTCAAAAAATGCATATAAAACTACTTCCCACTTCCTTTAACATCCTGTACTTACCACCGACCCCCGCCCCTACTATCTCCCACACCCGCTTCCTGTACTTCTTAGCATCTGAGGACCTTCTTTGGCCATTCCCTCAAGGCCATTTCCTGATTAAGTTGATTTACAAAAACAAACAAACAAACAAAAAAAACAAACAAACATACAAAAAAAAACCCCTACAGTTTATGGTATGCTTTCTGCAAAAGCTTTTCTTATTCTTTTGCAGGCATTATACCTAACACTCCAAAGGAAAGGTTATATGCTCTGATTTTTCTATGCAATAAACATTCTTATAAAGAGTGGAATTTGATATTCATTGAGTTCTATCTTTGATAACTAAACAAACTTTATTAAGAGTCAAAGGAAAATAAGGTTTCTAGGGTAAATAGGTAAAATACTTCTACCTGAAAAATAGTACCATGGGATTTTCTCTGGTCTAAGGGACCTAATATTATTAAGTTTATGTGATAAATTTTGCAGACATTTTGGATTTTGCTTCAATGGTAGACAGAGCAGTAAAAAAGAAATCACTATATTCAAGTATTTCATTGACAGAGAAAGAAAAGAATGACCAAAGCAAAAAACTTAAATTAGATATAGAAAGGTTTTTAAATTCCAGAAAAGACTATCTAAATTTCTCTATTTAAAAACACCTGAAACATCTGGGATAGAATGGTCTAATCCACCAGTTGGGAGGGGAATTTACATGCTGAGGGGGCTCCTGAATGAGGGAAGGAGCCCTTTCTAGACTCAAGCCAGGATCTCTGTGGTCTGATCTCACCTCTGTCCCAGCCTTGCAGGACGAGCACCTTGGCAAAGTACCTAACTCTTAGCTTTCATTTGTCTTGTTATCTCTATAAAGAAAATGTGTAACTGGGTGATTTCTAAGTTTTCCTCTAGATACAATATTTTATGAGTCTATCTTTTTAAGCCCTCTCCACCACTAGATTTGTTATAAAATCCTAAATCTCAAAGATTCCTCCAAGCTAAACTTGTTGGGAAATTCTTTAATACAAATGGAAATGGAAAACCAAACTAGCAGCCACCACTGAGGGGCTTCCAAATTTACAAATCCCCAAGGGCTAGCACAACTAGAGAAAAGAAAGGCAAATGTGTTTGCCGAATGAAGGACCTTGCCTCTTGCCCTTGTTACCCCCCTCAAGCTTCTCCAAAACAGCTCAATATTTCCTATGAAAGACACAGGAATCCATCCACCATGTGCCCCACCCTCTTTCCAGTTAACCACCAGCTGCGAGCCCAGTGCAGAGCCACACGAGGGAACCCTAGGCAGCCTGATCTGCACTGCATGCTCTTCCCAGCACCAAAGCTCCTAGCCCCTTCCACTCTCTAAGCCACATCTTCTAGAAGAGGGAAGATTGCACTAGCCAGTCCCAGGCTCTCTTCTACAAAGGAAAGTCAGGGGTGGGAGAGAAGAGGAGAGGCAGTAGGGAGGATGACAGGATGAAAATCTTACAAGAGCAAAAACTTTTATTCTAGGGTGGACTTTTTTTTTCTGTGGTATCAGGGAAAAGACAGGGAAGAAGGGAAATAGAGGCTACTTTACCTTTCCAGCTGGGATTCTCAAAAAAAAACACTCATTAATCACGAAATAAAATGTCAGAATCCATAAACACTTTAAATATATGTACCTTAGGGACAAATGTTCTTTTTGGCCAGTGTCTAAGCTGAACATTTCCACTTACGACACCTTTAAGAACATTTATGTGGTTTGCTGGCATTGACTAAAACCAGTAGATGAGGCTTTTCTTGGAAAAAATTAGATTCTGTAGGTTAAAAAACAAATAAAAAAACAGCCAGCATCCTGAAGCCACCACATGTCCTCACTGGCAAGTCTTAAATGAAAAGAGAGAGGGAAGAAATCCTTTGAAAATGTATCTGTTCCAATCAAAGAGTTAGCAACACTACACAGAATTATGTAACTTAGTTCAAGAAGAACCCACAAAATGTTTAAATGTGCCAAGTTGTTCAGTGGTCCTGAAACACGGGGGTTTAAATAAAAGGCCATACCCAAACCAGTAACTGCATGGCTGCTACCGTGATATTTCAACAACATAGCACATGTTCTTTTTATGACAAAGGGGACATATCACAACTTGACAACAGTGAAGTTGCAAGGGACTGTTTAACCTTTGGTTTGTTGGAACTGTTTTGTGATTATGCATTTTGTTACAGCGGAAAGGATACAGCGCTGGCATGATTTATACCAACAAAGACGGCTACGCACCGCATCACACTGGACCACTCTCTTTTAAATTTATGTGGTTCTCCTAGATGCCTGTCAATGCAGGGGTATAATAACCCAATCACAGCTGTGGAAAGAAGGAGAAAAAAATTAAGTCATCTCCAATGCTATGCTGGCAAAACTTAAGCTAAAAGAGTCACTACAACCCCCACAAGCATTTGAAAGATTATTTCAAAAGCTCTCCAAGTTGCTTAACATCAATCACTGATATTTTTAAACTTACCTCCCCAAAGAGGGGAAAATTAAAAAAAAAAAAAAAAAGATAACACCACTGCAGAAAGCACTGTGATTGTAACAGTATTCCAAATTATAATTGGCAGAGCACTATTTCACTGTATGAATCATGATTTCACAGTTTGCACTAGATGCTGCATGCTTCTTCTCTACTACTCCTATCTCTGAGATCTGAAAACATCAGACCAGCTGGCAGCTAAGCAATGTTCTCTCTGAAGTACATAACCATGAAGCATGTTATAAAATGCCACACAAACTGTCCAAAGAGAAGCTGGAAGCATAAATGCGTACAATAAGGTCACCCCACACAGTGTTTGTTCTGATGGCTACGGATGTCCTGGTCTACAGATTACTCTAGTGCCTCCGGCTTGTCTCCTGCACCCAGGGCTGTGTCCTGACATTCCCCTCTAGAGTTCTCTATAAGAACTGTACATTTTCGGCTAAAATTTAAATTCCTTCTTAAAAGTGAGAAGTCATTTTAGTACATTTCTTAGTTCTGGAAAGAACATCTTAAAGGTTAACCATATAATTATGAAAAACTGTATACAAAATGTCTATGATTGAGACTCCAAATATTCATGCCCAATTTTTAACTAAAGTACTTGTCAAACGTCAACATTTTATTCATTTATGGGAAGAGATTTTAAATGTAAAGTTAGTCACTAAAAAAAGACCTTAATGAACCAAAACATTCTTCAACAAGTTATAAGGAAAATGCACTTCTACAAATTAAATTTAATGGGAAATAGCTAAGCATCCTTGACTTGCTTGTTTCCCTAAAAACAGAGTGGTCATGTTGCCATCAAGTAATAAGACACAACTGATGTCCAGTGCTACCTATGATGTATCTTGAAATTACTGTACCAAAATCTTGAGTGCCTGAGGATCAGGAACCCCCCTGCCTGGCCTGGTATTGACTAGATCTTATAAAAGACACATTCAATCTTTAAGGAAAAAGAGAAATCAATTAATATCAAAAATCACAGGCTAGCAGACCAATGGAGCAGTATTAAAAAGAGGCCACACCGTCACCCCTCCATCTGGGGGTGAGCAGCCGCAATGGCGTATGCGTGCTCTAATCCACAAATCTGAAAGTGCTCTTCTGAGTTAGGCTTTTGCTGAGTAGAGATGGTTCATAGACCATCAAGAGATTAACAACAAATTTCAGCAATGTGGACCTCCAACAACTATTAGTAAATTTAAAACTTTCATATCATATTCCTATTTAAAAGGCTTGACTCTAAAATCCTGGGAGATTAACTGACAGCATTTCCAAATTCCTACAAAATTAAAATGGCAACAAGCATGCCTAACAGTTGAAATACATCTAAATGAGTATTACCTCTTTTTTTTTTTTTCCCTCTCAAGGGGTCATGAAACTAACAGCTCATGTCATTCCTCACTCTCTCTCTCCTTCTCTCTCCTCCTTTTGCCTGTTGCTGACTAAAATCAACTAAGATCAGGCATTCCAAGTCAATTTTCCTCAGCAGCTGATGCCATAGGTAAAGAATTATCACATAGAGAATACTGACGTGTGCAAAGATATAAATAAGTAAAATTGACTAGATTTGTATGCATGTGATGTCAGACTCACAAGTGAGAGACAACTGAGGAGAGAAAGCAAAAACACAAAAAGGAATTTAAACTGCCATGCTGCCAACCTTGGGATTTGCCAATAAAAATCAAATCCATTGAGTATGCATGGTTCTCGGTTGCTCACTGAGAAGAAGAATTCGAGGAAGCTTGTCACTTTCCATTAAATGTCTTCTTCCTTCCCTTTAAATAAAGGCATGGCAGAGTCTGATAGCAGTGTCTACAGCACGGTGAGACTCCAACGGTTTGAGAGTTCAGCAGAAGGATGTCTGGGCTTTTTTTCTCTTCCTTCTGACTTTTTTATTTTAACAAGAGATTGTTAAAATCATGCCTGTATAACATTATATGCAAACACTGTCCTGCTTAACTGGAGGGCTCTCTGATGCAAAATAACATCTCTTGGGATAGATTTACTTCCCAGCAACCTGTTACAGCGTACCAAGCCAAAAGCAGAAGAAGTCTGCAAAACATCAATATTAAGTCATCACTTACTCAGGGTAGTGTGTTTAATTCAGTGATGCACTAAGAGGAACAGTTAAATCAAATGTTTTTCAAGAAGGGGCGGGGAAAAACGAAGCCACTGAAGGAGATAGACTTTCATGGAAAACTACGACAAGATACACAATGTTTCATTCATTATAAATTCCCATAATGTATCCAGTTCTTGCTATTTGCCAGGGATTTAAAAAGAAAAAGAGTAAGACGTGATCCCAGTCCCAAAGTGAGCACAGAAACAATGCAATACAGTAATATGTTAGGGGTGGCACTGACAGGGCCTAGTGGGGGCCCAGTCTTCTTCTGGCATGTGCTGAGGGGAGGCAGGGTGCTGGAGTGTTGGGAAAGCTTCACAGAAAATGTGGCCCCTGAGGGAGGAGCCGAGTGCAGCACGTCACTGGTGTGGAAAGACCTTTCTAATCCAAAGGAAAAGTCTGGGGGAAAGTATGACAATGAAAATACCCACTGTCACCTGAAAATTGTAAGCTTTAGGCAAAAAGGGAGCTTCAGAAAGACTCTGAAGAAGACAAAGTTGGCAAGGGTCGTATCGTAGAGACTACCCTACAGACACTGGGGAATCAAGAAATAATGCCACTGCATTTGTAGCAAACAGAAGGCTGCTCACTCTTACAGTGCCAAGTGTACCACACATGATGGAGAGAAGGGATTGGCGGGTGGTCAGAGTGAAAAATTAGAAGCAGAAAAAGAAAAAGTGAAAATTCCCATCAGAGCAGTGAAGGGTCTGGACCAAGAGACAGAGGAAACATGGAAACTTGGAAAGCTGGAGACGTGAGAGCAGGAGGAAACTTGCAGGGCTCTCCAGGAACTGGGTAAATGACTGCTGGGCTAAACTGAAAAGATCCGTTTTTCCTTTGTTAGATATTAGCTTCACAGGTATGAATATAATTTGGTTACTTGCAATTTTCAAATCGATTTCCCTAGTTATTTTACCCACACAATGATAGTTATCTTTCTCCTCTATTCTTTCCTCGGAAAGATTCCTTTGCAGGCCCCCATAACGTTCAAGAGGTTTCTAACTCTGATTCTAATGCGCTGCACATATTGAGAAGTTAATCAACTTGAAACACCAGCCATTATTAAATTAAAAATAGAGAACTAAGAAAAAGAAAATGAAATCAAAGGAAATATACCAGCGTTCTCTACTGGGTGTCCCTCCAGAAGCACCGCTAACAAATTTTCCAGCACTAGGTGCTATAGGGGAAGACAGCAGATAGCCAGGGACCCTTCTGTTTGCATGAAGAAAGTGGTGATTCTGGAGAATCTCCAGAAGGTAGCTAGCTGCTCTGTCTATGAATATTAGTTGGACAGGAAAAACAAAGGACAATTATCAGTTTTTCTGACTTAAGATGGTAAGAGCCTAGAGATTTTTGTGAAAATGCTTACCAGCACATGTACACAAAAACATATATATACTTCAAACACACGTAAACACGTACACACTGCGTTTCTTATATCACTGACTTCTTATTTCCTTGATATTTCCCCCAAAATTGGGGGCAGGAGGTGCAAGAATCCATTTTCTACCTTCAGTAACGTTCACAAATATGGTACCTTCACTCTCATCTACTAAATGCCATGACTCACCCAACGACATCAGTAGCAGAGTTAACTGAAATCTAGATTTCCAAACGCCTCTGTACCTCCGTGTACCCACATACCTCATGGAAGGCACTGCTTTCAGGAGAAACACTTAAGCGTAAATCCCCTAAGTGGGGAAGTATGAAGTTAGGTTTGTAAGTGTGACAAACCTAGTGGCTGGGAAAAGGAAGGAAAGCAGGGACAAAGTAACTGAAATGTGGCATTAACATTTGGAATTGTCCCTCCTAAATATGAGTTTGTGGCAAAAGTGCCCATGTCACAGGGACAGGACGCAACCCCCGGTCCTCTCCTTAATGGTGGTACAAAGAAACCTGTTCTCCTGCCCCAGCCACAAAAGTCCAAAACACAACAGCAGGTCCCATCGAAGCTTCGAGGGGAAGTGTGAGTCGCTTCCTCTTTCCCCTCCTCCAGCCTGGAACGCTGGACCCAGCTGCACCATTCACCAGCTCTGAGACCCTGGGCTCAATGACATCCTCTCTTCCTCTCAGGTTCCTCATTCCCCAAAGTAGGCACAATGCCAAAATCTCACTCCCAAAGTTGCCCTACAGATCCCTGGGGTTAAGGGATGTGCCTAGCACATTAGGAGGCAGTCAGTAAGTAACAGTTTCCCTCCCTTGACCGTCCTTTGTCTATTCTGAAAAGACATGTTCTTCCAAATCCCAATAAGCTTCAACTGGTAGCCAGATAGCAGCTATACCATGCAAGAAAATTAACTAGAAAAAGACGATGGGTGGAGCACCTGGGTGGCTCAGTGGGTTAAAGCCTCTGCCTTCAGCTCAGGTCATGATCCCAGGGTCCTGGGATTGAGCCCTGCTTTGGGCTCTCTGCTCAGCAGGGAACCTGCTTCCCCCTCTCTTTCTACCTGCCTCTCTGCCTACTTGTGATCTCTGTCAAATAAATAAATAAATAAATAAAATCTTAAAAAAAAAAAAAAAAGACGATGGGAAAACTTAATTTTTCTCTTTTTAGTTTAGATGAAATAAAAGAAAATACATGAGGACTAGTAGACACAGCAGAGAATGATAAAATATAATTTATGCTTTCTATTCTATTTGGATGAGTTTGTTTAGTGTCTCAGAAAATGTAATAACCCTGGGGAAATTACAAATCACTGCCTTTATAAACTTTTAATGTGAATATTGTGATAGAGACACTGACACGTAAACCACACTGAAACCTTACCACAACATGCCTCTCCACCCATGCAACTGTCCAGTAGATTCCACAAGTCATTCTAAAACATCTCACACCTAACTCCTCCCCTTCAACCTCCAGCTCAAGGATGGAAGTCAAAAGGATCTACATTACACTGCAAGGTATTGGTGTATTTTAAGTATGAGTCACCAAATGGACATTCCAAAAAGCAATTTTCTCCCTCAATCAGATTTTTCTTCTACCACACAATGATGGCTTCCTTCTATTACTTTCTTTTATAAGATGTTATTAATCTATTGGTCTCAGTCAGTAGAAAAAGCTAAAGAGCATCCATTATGGAAGCTCTGCATGAAGTAGGCTTTCTGAAATGCTCCACTTTATCCCTTACACACTGTCCACCAAAAAAGATATAAAATAACTACTGAAATAGGATAATGACTTTAAGCAAAGAAAATCCACCTTATTAATCTCTTTAAGTATTCATTATCCTTAAACCATATCGGAAAACAAGATACCAAGAAAAAAAACAGGTACAAAAATCTAAAAAATAACATGAAGCTTTAAACTTGCATAACACTACTCCATCTCTTAAGTTGTCATCTACTTGAAAAACAAGGCCATAACACACACAGGTCTAAGCCTTAAAACCACAGTGACAATGATCACCAAAATAACTCAGAGTAAGAACTGGGGTGCCTAGGTGGCTCAGTGGGTGAAGCCTCTGCCTTTGGCTCAGGTAATGATTTCAGGGTCCTGGGATAGAGTCCCACATCAGACTCTCTGCTCAGCAGGGAGCCTGCTTTCCCCCTCTCTCTGGCTACTTGTGATCTCTGTCAAATAAATAAATAAAATCTTTTTTAAAAAATTATTTTAAAAAAAGGATTAATATGAGGTGGGTTGAAGAAAAGACAAAATTAAGAAGTTAAGAGACTCATCCCAAAGGGAAGTAAGATTCTTTTAAGATTAAAATGTTAAAGTTCATAGGTCAGACAGAAATCAGACACAAGAGTATCTACACTATGATTCCATTTATATTACATGGGGGAACAGGCAAAAATAACCTAGGGACAGAAACAGAAAGATCAGTGGAAGCCTGAGGCTGGGAGTGGGGAATGGACAGCAAGAGAGCACAAGAGAATCTGTGGGTCATGGAAATGTACTACAGCAGGACTGTGATGATTGGTAACACCACTGTGTGAATTTGCCTCAATGCATCAAACTGCTCATGTAAAACAGGTCCACTGTCCCGCACTGAAATCAAAGCTGAAAAACAAGTACTGCCCAGACAACATCCACACCCATGCAGCCTCCTTTTTTTCTAAGCATTACAGAAGCAGCCTACACATACCTGAGGCTGTGCCACAGCACGGCGGTACCCACCACGCTGAAGAAAAGATGCTGGCGATCACATCAGGTGGAAAGAGCGTCACATTTCTCTGAATCTGAAGTAAATTTAACACTAAGGCAAGAAATACTCCAATAAAAAATAGTACCACTCCACGAATCATCAAGTTCACACTCCTGCTAGTGACAGATGAAATGTAGGGGCCGCGCTTTTTGGTCCCAGGTGATTCTGTCTCTCCTTCTGCCATGGTTTCATCAGTTCAGTAAACCAGCAAGGCGGGGAGAAAAAGGCTTCTCAGCTGAAAAGCCAACTGTCTGTGAATCAGTGCAGACTGGCGTTTCAACAGTTACAGCATCTTATCCTAAAAGAGGACCTACCAGAAATCCTGCAAGAGATAAGAAGAAAAGAAATCAATGTTTATCAAATAAATGATCATACAATTTTTCTGATTTCAATACTAATTAATTTCAAAGTACAAATAATGAAATGACAAGCTTACGTATTTATTTAAATTAGTATTTACTGAATAAGAAGTGGTTTAAAAAGCATTCTTATAGGCATCGTATAATAAAAAAGTGTTATACTTATATTTACTAAGACAGAATAAGTGACCTGCGAAGCTCAAAGGTTAGAATAATAATAAAAACAGCTTGTTCTGCTTCAGAGAAATGCAGAGCAGGTTACCTGAGATAGTTCCACCAGAATCTGGAAGATTACAATCCAGGTTTCTCTTTCTTCTACCTAAATCTCCAACCCAGAACAGATGGGCCTGCAGCTTTAGGTAAAAATCTTTATGCTTCATTAAAAAAAAATGAATTTATACAGAAAATCAACATATTCTAACTGAAAATTCTGTACCGCTCACAATAAAATGTGACTTGCTCATAAGGATGACCTCCATAGAGGAATGCACTGTTTTCATGTTTACAGGCTGTATATTTGATTTTTACACAAAAGCATCTTAGAAAACACAGACTGCCGCCCACTTACCTATACATAAACCAAGCACAGAAATCAGACCTTCTCTCTGCAGGGCCACAGCTGTGTCCCACCCTTGCCTGGACCCAGCCAGCCCTCTGTTACAACCACAAAGCTACTGTGAAAGAGTTGCGCTAGGAAGCAGAAGAAAGGAAGCTAAGAAAATGAAGAGTAGCCTCATGCCCAGACTGTAAGGAGTTTTGGCCACATGACTCCTAAAAGCCAGGGAAAGTGGTCTCTTTTGTGCATCTGGTTAAGACAAAGAACATCTGATATTTTCTGTGAACACAAAACCCACGTGTAAACTGAGAGTTGGGGAGAGGGGTGCTGACTTTAGAAATAATCTGTATGAAAATGAGAACATTTGCGAGTACTAGTAAGCCATGTGACAGCCAATTGGTTCCATGTGCTAAACACAGACAACAGACACATGTGTTTGTTTGTTTTGTTTTATTTTGTTTTGTTTTACTGAACCTCTGTCACATCCAAAGCTCTGTGCCCAACACTCACAGTGGGATGTCTGTCCTCAAGCTAGTCCTCACAAACCTAACTTAGTCTATAGCATGACAGAGCTCTGCAGCTTAGAGGACTACAGAAAACAGTACATCTTACGGCTGATTCATGGACAAATACATTCTACACACCAACTGAAAACGTCTAGAACCCATCTCTTCCTGATCTGGTCCTGCAGACTCTTCCTTGCTGTGCAATCCAGCAAATGAGCATGCCAGGTGTTCAGTTGCTACAGAACTTTTCATTATCACCATAATCATGACTACTGATACAGCTCCCTGGACATACAGTTAGCCCTAATCTTCGAAATCATCGAAAGGTAAGTATTATCATCCTCAATTTACAAATGAAATCAAAGTCAAAGAGATTTAGCAACTTGCTTACCATCACATGATGCACAGTAACAGTACTGGAATTTTACCTTAGGTCTGAGTCCAAAACCCATCCTCTTCCCTCTAAACCTGAGTCCTATTCCGGCCTAACTCCTCAGACTTCTTTTTTGGCACATGGATTTGTGGAAGGGGATTTGGTTACTGAAAAGATGGCAGACATGGAAAATCGAACTCAACTGTAATATATCCTCAATGTAAGTAGGCAACCATATAATATCACAGAGATCATGACAGTAAATGCAAAAATGCTTTGAAATTTTCTTCAAAATTACTAGGTCAAGGTGTAAAAAGGTACTTTAAAGAAAAAAAATATATGGCCAATTTACAGACTGTTATGCCACCGTACTGCCTAAGACCCTTCACTTCCCAGACTTCCAGTAGACACAGCGAGGTGCCCCAACTTCTGCTGTTAAAATGGCTACTCGAGAACAAAGAGTATACATACATTTTAAGTAGCCCCAATTCCTCTAGTAAATCCTTCTTTTATGTCTGTGATTTTTTTCAAGTGGGAATTAATGGCAAAGGATATGGTGTGTTGAAATTATGTTTCTGTAAGAGCTTAATAACTTCAGCTTAAAAAGCTTTTTCCAGTTGTGCCAGGCCCCAGCTCACAATCACCAGTGTTTGTCAGAGGGCAATGGCATTTTTGGCAGGACAATTCCTCGCTGAGTGAAACTGCCCTAGGCATTGCAAAACACTTAACGTCCCTGGCTCGTGCCCACTAAATGCCAGTGTGTGCCCCCTCACCCATTTGAGACAACCAAAAATGTTTCTACAATATTTCCAAACACCACCAGATAGGCAATGTCCTCCCACTCAGGGCCACAGATTGCCACAGACTATTTCCTCAAGCTAGAGACTTTCTAAGTTGTTTGTTTATGTTATTCTACAATAGCTCTTTATTCAACCTTTCCTAGCAATGCTTGTTTATAGTTTCCTACTTCACCCCAAAAGTTTTCTTTAAAAGTAACACAATGTTGTTTTGGTGATTGTTTATTTGAATGAGTTCTCTTTTTAAAGATAATATTTTAAAAATCCAAAAGACTGATTTTTATGACTATATAATAATATAATAGCATGTAATTACTAGAGACAAAAATAAGAGAATGCTTTAGAATCACAGTATCCTAAAATTTAAGAGAAGAGAACTGAGAGATCATCTGTTCCAGGGGGTACTTGAGCCTGTGCAAAACAAAACAAAAAAGTTGTATATATATGCATTTTCCTGGACAGTTGCACAGTTTATACCAAGTACTTATTAAAAAGTCCATAATCCAAAAGAAGTTAACCAGTGATCTAACAGTTTTATCATTTTACTAGATAAGAAATTCCACAAGACCACTCACTCCCTACTCCCACATCCCTACTATGCAACAACAGTTCAGTTCCTTTAAAAAGTATGCTGTTTATAGTAACAGAACAGGGAAGTGGGTTATTTAAATGAAAGCTCTTGGGATTAAGTATGTCCTTAATCTGTTTATTGTAAAGTTTGGTTTTCTGATTAAGTACCGATATTTTTTTTTTCTTAAAATAAAATGTACCTATACCTTTAAACATTACTCTTATATCAATGATAAATTTGATTCTTCTCCAAAATTTAAAAAAAAAATCTATATTTGAAAAATTTAGATTACTCAAGAAATAACTTGTTGATTAGGGAAAAAGTCTTTGGTATGAAGATATTATTTAGAAGAACAATACCTCAACAGATCTTCAATGATAATCCTGGTAGGGAGGTAAGTGTTTTTAATCCCCATTTTTACAAAACAGAGTAAGTTAAGTAACTTCCTGAGATGATAACACTGTTATCAGGTAGCACCAGGACTGGCATTCTCCCCCACATCCCCAACACTCTGGTTCCTTCTAGAGTTCCTTCACATTTCACCACACTGTCCCAACTACAAACACCATACAAAAACAATTCACAAGTCACACAAGTAGCAGCTTTTTTAAAGTCATACTGATCAACTAATGTTAATACAAAAATAATGCTTTTTTTTCTCAAAAATTGACAAAGAAAAATCTCCCACTGTATATAAGAAAGCCTTATTCTTCCTTGAGCCCTGACCTTTAACTTCTATAAAGTACATTACTAAACAAAGAGAAAAATAGTTTAGACAGGTCAATAACAAACCATCAAAAATGGAAAAATAATTAGGCCAGCTATAGGACCGCCTGTTAATGGGTGATATTATTCCTTTAAAAAAAAAAAAAGTGGTAAGTGATTCCAGACTTTTGGAATGAAAATCAAAGTTCATGTCTTCCACTGAAACAAGTTTCAAGCAACAGTCATTTGAAAACAAACACAAAATTTTCTAGTAACCTTAAGAACCGGTTGTATTTTATCAATTCCAACACCCTCTCAAATCACACAAGATCATTCATCCTCCAATGATTAACAGTCACAGAAGTATATTTCCTTCCTCATAGAACCCTATCTCTTCAGGTGTTTAGGTCAGATAAGCTATAAATAATAAAACTAAATTACTACCTCACATCTTTCATTAGATGCTCTCTTAATTATAATGGTATTCTCAAAACAGAATAAGCATAAACATCAGGAAAAACACACATCAATGAAAAATAGAAGCACACAAATGTGAATCATAGACTATGCACACTAAAACTTCTAGAAAGACAAATATGTTTGTCTTGAAGACAATGCCACTTATCTTTCCTTTCTACATTAAAACCCAAACACAGAAACCATTAAACAAGCAGCATTCACATCCCATTACTACTTTTAAATGTCAAATCTCATTCACTAAAAAGGTTACTCTATCATTTGAATAATTTTTTGATAACAATGAAAATGTGTCTTTAAGTTACTCAACTGCATTTTCTCCTTTCCTTTGCAGCAGACCATTCGAAAAAGCAACAGTTGTCAGTTTAAAAAGAATCAACCTTTCCCAAATGTACATGATTCACTGCTTGGTCACTTTGTATCAGATATGTACTGACAACTACAACAAATCACACTAGTCAACATAATGTGCAGTGAAAGAATGAAAATGGAAACAGGCTAATATTTTTTTCCCTGGAGACCCTATTAGTTAGGCATCCCTTCATTTTCACTCGGTGGTAGGCAACCAGGGATAAGCCCCAAAGTTGGAAAACACAATCTAGCCACTGTTTGGCTACCTTCCCCTACAAGCCTCTGCTCCATTGTAACACCGGTATGGGCCAGCTCCAGTGGCCCAGGGCTCAAGTCTACCCATTCCTTCTTAAAGCATCTGCTCATTAATCCTACAAAACTGGAAGCCCTTCATGATATATTTTCCATATTTTCCTAGACTATCAAGCTTACCCCATACTTTTATAACTTTTTTCCAACACTAACAGGGCATGGGTTATGATCACTCGTTTTAGCACACTTCCCCCACCCACCTCCCCGTCCCCTATCATCCACACCGCTTTGCTTTTCCAGATTGCCAATCCTCACTGAGCAACCCCCAAATCCCAGTAACTATCACCAACTGATTTCTAGGTCCCAGCAAGTGTTCCCTTTGGACTGACCCACACATATTCTCCAAAGGTGTCCAATTCCAATCCAAAATGCCAAAGTCCCACTCCTCAACCTAATATCAACATACCTTTTTGCGGATTCCAAACTTACTACAAAAGCTACGCTTTTGGATCCATCCACCTCCCCAACCTGAGTCTCCCTGGCTACAAGCCTCCCAAATCCTGACAGCTCTATGGTTGACAGCTCGCCGACCTCCAGCTTCATCAAATCTCCAGGGTCGCCCTTCCCGCCGTCCTCCAGTCTTCTTTCCGCTCGGACACTCTTCCACTGTCCGGGGAGCCCCGGCCTCTCCTATGACCTTCGCCCGACCCCGGGTCCGCCTCCGGACCTCGCAGACCCTGCACCAGGTAAGCTGGAGCCCTTGCCCTTCAGGCCCCATCTGTGGTCCTGGCTAACCGCATCTGCCAGCAGGGTTCCTAGCCTGCAAAAACACAAGCGGTTCCTCTTCCCGAAGGCCATCCCCCTCTTCAGGCCTCTTCCTTCAGCACCATAGCTCCCAAGCTTCGCAGGGGGACCCCCAACTCACCCCCGCCTCCGCCATCTTCTGGGACCGGCTCCCGCCCCCCTCCACGTCTTCCTCCTCCCCTCCCACAACTCTGCCGAAGCCCCACTGCGCCTGTGCAGTCCACGAGGAGGCGCTCTGATGATCGGGGCAGAGGAACTTCCGGTTAGTACCCGCGCTCGTTGTTGAGCCGGCGAGACGGGGCAAAGGAGTTTCCGGTTTGCCTGAAATCAGCTCCTGCTTGTAGGCGTGGACTGTTTAGAGAGTGGGAGGTGGTTAGGTCAGTTGTTGTTTGCTAACCAGGCAATCTTGGGTTGTGACGAGTATCCAGGCCCAGTGGGCGGTGTGAGAGAATCGCGCACTGACACACGCACACTCTCTGGGAGGCGTGACGCTCCGCGTGTGCCTCTGCTCCAGGAGGAATTGAGGGCTCTGGAGCGCCGGCCGCCCAGATCTCCCGCCAGGGACGCTGACTCTCAGTATCTGTGCTTTCACTGGGCTTTACTCTTTACGTTTTCCCGTCTCCTACTAAATCATAAAAGCGTAACTGATATTTCGCTCATCTCCATCCCACACCACTTCATAAGGTCTTTATTAATAATGGTTCCCCAAGTTCGACCAGGTAGCACAGTTTGAGGACAGATGTTTTCCTAGGAAGAGCTTTGGAGGTCGATAGCAAAGTAGAGAAAATAGAGAATCTTATAACCCCCCTCTTTGTTGGGAGGTGTACTATGTATGAATGTGATCAGGTTATAGTGGTCTTGAGGAAAGTTTTAGGTGAAATTTAGGCCTACCATAATTGTTTAAGAGCTTCCCATAAAAGTGTCAGTGAAATACCTTTCCCCCCCTTCCTTTGAGTGGTTAACAGTAAGATGGATTTTTATATTTCTAACCTTTGTATCAGTACACTTATTTCTCAAAATTAAAGGCTAAATTAAATCTGCAACAAAATATATCTAGGCAAGTATTTATATGCTCTTTCTTGTTTTCTCTAATGTTTCCTATAGCTCATAAATGTCTCTCTTTTTTAAAGATTTTATTTATTTATTTGAAAGAGGGAGAGAGGGAGAGAGCACAAGCAGGGGAAAGAGGCAGAGGGAGAGGGAGAAGTGGTAAAATAAGATTTGGGCAGATTATATGGATGGGTGAAGAATTTTAGAAGGAAAAGAGAAGAGCACGTACAAAAGAAACAACAACCTCAAAAATGTCCTGACATTAAGGCTTTCTGTAAGTATGAGTTCTATTCATCCAGTTTATGTCTCCCCTAAGCCGTCTTTTTCAAATACGAGAATTCGCTTTCAAGAAAATCCTTATGGAAGATTTTAGCCTACAGAGGCATTTATTTTAGTTTAAATGTTTATTTGAAGCTGAAAAATGTTGGTATATTCCAGGAATTCAAAAGAAGGTAGAATCGCTGGGGGGTAGCAATTGAGAAGGAAGAGGTCACACATTGAGGTTGTGTATTAATATCATGATTGAGCACATTCTCAATCAGTGTGTCAGACACTGCACTAAATTTAATTTCATTTCACCTGCTCAAAAACCCCTTTAAAATAGATATTATGTAGTAGATGAGGAATTAAGACCAAGAGCTGTGATACCCAATCTTGGCTGCATATTAGGATTCCCCAAGGATCTATCGAAATTTCTTTTTTTTTTTTTAAGATTTTATTTATTTATTTGACAGACAGAGATCACAAGTAGGCAGAGAGGCAGACAGAGAGAGAGGGAAGCAGGCTCCCCGCTGAGCAGAGAGCCCAATGCAGGGCTCGATACCAGGACCCTGGGATCATGACCTGAGCCAAAGGCAGAGGCTTTAACCCACTGAGCCACCCAGGCACCCCTCTATTGAAATTTCTTGTGTCTGAGCTTCATCCTCCATGTATTCTGATTTAATTGGGCTGAGGAAAGGACTTGAACCATTTTAATAGATTCCTTGTATAATCCCAATGTGCAACCAGAGTGGAGAATCACTGTCTTAGAGTTAATTTGCCCAG